ACGCACGCACGCACGCACGCACGCACGCACGCACGCACGCACGCACGCACGCACGTACGCACGCACGCACGCACGCACGCACGCACGCACGCACGCACGCACGCACGCACGCACGCACGCACGCACGCACGCACGCACGCACGCACGCACGCACGCACGCACGCACGCACGCACGCACGCACGCACGCACGCGCACGCACGCACGCACGCACGCACGCACGCACGCACGCACGCACGCACGCACCCACACACACACACACCCACACGCACACACACACAGACACACAGACACACACACACACACACACACACACACACACACACACACACACACACACACACACACACACACACACACACACACAAAAACACACACACACAAAAACAAACACACACAAAAACAAACACACACAAAAACAAACACACACAAAAACAAACACACACACACACACACAAAAACAAACACACACAAAAACAAACACACACAAAAACAAACACACACAAAAACAAACACACACAAAAACAAACACACACAAAAACAAACACACACACACACACACACACACACACACACACACACACACACACACACACACACACACACACACGCGCAAGCACAATCACAGGCACAGGCACAAACACTAGCACACACACAAACACAAACGAGGATAAGCAAGCTCAAAGTGGGATGTTTGAAACGCGGGTTGTCCGACCTTGGGTCGCGCAGGCGCCTGTTGCCAGCCTTGTTTCCAAGTGGATTTTTTCCGAGTGGGTGTGGTTCCTTCTTTTGGGGGTGAGACTCTTTTTGGGGTGCTTTTACAGGGAGAGGAAACCCTTGCCACTCGGGGTCCGGTTCCTATTTTGAGAGTTCCCATTTTGTGGACCGCCGCAGGGCGCAGCGGCCCGCCTCGGCACCGGTGCCCGGGGGTTGGAGTTGGGTGACAGAACGGGTGGCACAAACCGGGTGTCTTTCTCAGACCTCCAAACCCAAAATGCGTGTGGGTCAAAGTTAAGCCACCAGGGAACCGCAGGTTTTAGTCCATGTTTCCATTTACCAGGGTTTATTTGGGTGCCAAGGTTTGATCCACACCCAAATGGCATAGGTTTTCAACATTTGGTTTCCCTTGAACACCACAACACAGCCACCCTCACACCCACATCTCAGCAGAAAGTACAAAAGCACAGTGCTTCAAGATCGGATAGAAAACGGAATCCTGTTCATGGGCGCACGAGAATCTGAGAAGGTACGCACAGTCTCCGCAGCGCCATCCATGCCAAGCACCAGCCCAAAGAGCGGCATGGAGCTGCAGGGACGCCCGATGTTCCGTGCAAGTCGGCCGTCGGTCTGATCGTTCGTTCCCCCGCACAAATGTGTCCGCACTAGGAATCGAATTGTTTTTGTTGGTACATCCGAAGAGCAACCAGAACAGCCAAGTTGCTGATGGCCTGCAAGAAAAGCAGCCATGGGCGCTGGATGGAGCAAGCTGTGGTTTCATGGGGTCGACCAAAGGGCCAATGCCGGTGTTCAGCCCCCGCCGGCCTGAGGCTTCGTCAGTTCAAGTCTCTGAAGAAGCATCCAGAAGTTCTCACCAAGTGCGCTGTGCGAGCGACTTGCGGATTTGTGTGCTGCTCCCCAAGAGTGCTGCTTTCCACCAAGGGCATGTCTTTCTGGGCTCCTGTCTAAGGGCCTCCTCTCAGTTCTGCCAATCCATGCGAGGTACGTCACAGAGAAGGTGCCACCATCTTTGCTCCAGAGCCTCTTCAGCAGATCACCGATCGAGGCAAGGGGTCCGCGACATGAGCTGCCAAGCCTGGGCACTGGCAGGCTGATGACTTGGCCCTTGTTCTGCAGACCTTGAGGACGGGTGTGGGGAGGACGCGAGGCTTTGGGTGGGTTCGCAGGGTTCCCGCAAAGGCGCAGGTCGTGGCTTGCTTGCATCAGCCGTTGCATGAGTAGAAGTTGGCTCGGAATCCTTGCCAATAACAAGTACGACAAGGGAAGGCAGCTGTTCGGGTCCTATCCCTGCCATTTGGGTATGGGTCAAAATTAAGCCACCAGGGGACCGCAGGCTTTGGCCCATGTTTCCACTTACCAGGGCAAGCCATTTGGGGTACCGGTTCTTGACCCACGGCCATTTTTTGTGTGCCAAGCGGACACTGCAGCCCCACGGCTCAGCTCACGGAGCGTGGCTGAAGGGCCCAAGCTCCATGCACAGCGCCTGGGCACGCACAAGGCACATGACTCCTTTCAGGTAGACCCCAGTAGCTGGTCTTGCTTGGTGATCAAATTTGAACCTCTGGTTCTTGTAGAAGGCAAATGGGAAACCACCCCCCAACCGAGCCACCAATCCAACCCACCAATTAGAGGAAGACTGATCCTTGCCAAGTCGTCAGCTGGTGGTAACTGGGCCAAAGCCAGTGCATCCTGAACAACTGAGGCGCCTCGCCAGCGAAATGCCTGCAACTGAATGCGTGGAAGTCCCATCAGTCAGACGAACCCAGTAACAAGTCAGCGCTTCCGTTCAGATGCAGCTGTGGCCAGGGGGAACAAAGGGTACCCTCAAGAAACCACAAACCCATTTGTTTTTGCCTGTTAGTTAGAGTATGCTGCTGATCCGAGGTCCTTTGCTCAGTCTCTGACCAAGATTGTTGCGGAGAAGAGGCCGAGTCTGGTTCCATAGGATTTCTCCCGGCCGAGGTCAAGCAACCGCGGGCTTCACAAGCGAAGTGTGTGTGTGTGTGTGTGCTGTGGCAAAAAGGAATCGAACCCCACAACTTGGTGGTTGATTTGAAAATCCTTTTGGCTCCCGTTATATTCTTTGGCACACCCTTAAAATAGGGGGATCCCTAACATGACGTCTTCCTTGTAGTCCTTTAGGCCGAACCACGAAACCCGTCAGGGAAGAGCAGAAAGGCAGAGAGAAGCTGGCTTCGAAGTGGAGGGCGCGCCCGTTCAGCCGACTCCTTTTCATCCATGGGTCCCTGAAAGCATACCAGCTGGGTTTACCAGCTGATCTAGCGTTCGTAAAGGTAGTTTTTGGATGTATCCTTCAAGAAATTTCGCCAAACCATGTTGTGCTTCGGCTATCGCAGACGTTCGCGACCGCAACTTTTGGCAGTGGTGACCCTTTCGGGCCAATGCGGAAGTCTATTTGTGGGCTGGGGATCAGGATACAGGCCCATTGTCAAACTTACTACAATGGAATGTGGATGCTGGTGGATATGTGTGAACATAGGGATTTGGACCCTCCCAAACTTTTCCCGGCGGTTTGCCACAAAAACAACCCAGGGGGACCCTGAATCTCACAAAAAATGGTACGGTTGCCCCGCCTGTTTATTTCTTGCCATAGGGGTGTTTCTCAAAGAAAGATGCCAAGATGGTTCTTTTGAGTTCCATGAAAGCCGTGAAAGGGGGGAGTGATCCGCTATTTCTTGTGCCATTTGGGTTTGAGAGCCACCCCGGACCACCCCGGAGCCTATCGCTTTCAGCTGTGGAACAAGATGGTTTTCCTCTTGGTTCCCCTTAAAGCCAGCCCCAAAAAGGGAAACCACAACAGACGCGCCTCCCATTCTGAGAACTCTTTCTGGGGTTGCGGCTGCGAGGCGCACGAAGAAAAGCTTTTGAAGCTGCTCATTGAGCTCTTCAAAGCCAAGTGCATGAAAGAGGCCGGGCGGCGCGGACCGTTTCTCGAGGCTCGGCGCCGATAAATCTATAGTGGCTTTCAAAAGCCTCGGGAGAATTTCCCATCTGGGCGCGGCTCGGATTTTTGGCTGGTGCTACCGCTGGTGCCTTCATGGACCAGCTATGGACTGGCCGAGATTTGGGCAAGAGGTTGGCGCCCTCTCGTGCGATGAGCAGTTCCGCAGACCTGCGAGGGAACCAAGTAGAAGTCATGCCGCTTGCCACATGGATGCTAGTTTTACAGGGCTCCTTAAAAGATACATGTTGCATCATTTTGCCCATTTGAAACATGGCTTTTTCCACCAAAATAAGGGGAAACCACCATTGACAAGTGTTCAGGTGTAGAATGTAAGGATCACGCATTGGGGAGCCCGACGGCTTTGACTGGCCGCCCCAGCTCCAGGCGGAGCTCGAGCGCTGCGACGCAGCGATTAGCTTCGCCTCGTTAGTGGGCCGCCCAGTGCGAATGGCTGCGCTGCGCACGTTTTGGCTTCGGATTTTGCGGCTGGGAGTTTGAAGGGACACATGAGCAAAGCCGCAATTTTCAGGGTCCCTATTTAGAGACACACCCATTTCAAGGCCAGGATGTCATAGGCATTTGGAAATTTGGGGTTAGAACTGATGGTTTCACAGCATGCTACTCCGACCAGAGTGCTACCTCTATTCAAAGAGCTTTTCCCGAGTGTATAAATGCACCACACTCGCTTCTAAGTCACAGCTTGGTGAAAGCTTGATGCTTGTGCTTCCAGGTTCGAGAAGTCCCAGAATTTCCGTCTCACGTCTGTCGCTCAAAGGGATTGCGCAAGGCTACAGGAGGCAAGGCCATCCCGGCTTTGCGCTGCAAGCGAGTCTCCTGCACTGAGCGAGTATGGAGATGGAGACTTTTCCTAGCTCTCACTTACTTTGAGCCTTTGAGCGTTGCTGAATTCAATGAAACGAGGTCATTGTAGACTCGCAGCATCTCGTGAGCGATTGGGGCGATGGAGCTGCCTCCTGGTGGTTCTATGTGCCCTGGACATGTTTTCTGCGACAGTTCGGCAAACTTCGGTATTTTTTGTAGGTGGTTCTAGTGGTTCTACCTGGTTTCACGAGTACGGCCCATGTCAACCACAGCTGCGTTCGAAGTCGTTGGCTGAAGATTTGGGCCAGGCCCACCGCGGCGTATCCCAAGACTTTGTCAGTGGCTCTCCAGTGTCCTTCGCTGAGCTGTTGGAATCGCCCGGGCCCCAGCGACAGCTGCGCCGTTTGGTTCTTTGGTGAACCAAAGCTGACCGAGTTTAAGGGGTCAGCAAACGAGCAGGGGATGAGCATTTAGCCACTTGCCAACGAGCAAAGCAGCAAAATGTAGGGCTGAAACGGGAAAGCAGTCATTTAGAGCCCCCCCGTTTTCTTAGACACCCAGCCAAATAACAGGGAAGAGGCCTGTCGAAGATCGAGTGCAAGCTGCGAAGCGGCACGTTTGCAGATTGACATCTTGAATTGAGCTTTAGAAGGCACTGGATGTGATTCTTGGGAGGACTTCAAAATCGGGGGACCCCCCCCCAAACACAGGCGGTCTCCTCCCTTTGGCTGAGGATGATGCCCAAATTCCTGGAAGCGGCCCAGGCGCGTGCACCGAGAGCTGAGGTTTGGTATCCGGTAGGTTTCTGGATCTATAGAGTCAAATTGAGCGGAACATAGGGCTGACCAAGTGAATTTGCCCACAGGGGCACACGAATCTCCCCTCATGTGCTGTGGCTCAGAGTGAGACGCTCGCCTTCCCAGCAAGCACCTCGGGCAAGCCTTCAGGAGCTGGGCTTCCAGAGCTGCAAGCGAGAACCCGGCACCTGGAAGGCGTCGATTTTTTTGTCGAGAAGCTGGCCATGGCCTGAGTCGAAAGCTTTGGCCAGGTGGTGGCTTCTTGGAAGCCTCCTGGCGGCGGTTAGTCTGACAGAAAATGAGCGCCGCCAACTTTAGGAAATTTTCACCAGCCGAAGATCTGGCAGGGACTTTGCCTCGACAGATGGAGCTGTTGCTTGCCGTCGTCTCTGGGCTGGCTGGGGCAAGGCCCGAAATCAAAGCAACCAAAATGTGACATGGCTTTGCCCAGCGCCAAGATCGGGACCCAAATTCGCTGGGCTTGCGAGGGTGCACTGCCCAATTCGACTCGGTGCTTGCTCGTCATGGCCGTGCCTGACGCAGCCTTGCGATTTTGTGTTAGAAAGACATATCAACCCTGCCTCGCCACAAAGAAAATAAGGCTCGAGGGCACTGCGTGTAAGCCTTGGGAGGTCATCTTCTGGCTGTTGAAAGGCTTCAAGAGGCGGACATTTTCCCTCGAATTCCGAACGACTGAAGGCACCTTATCTCTTTCCCAGGACTGCAGCCAGTGCTGCAGAGCCGCTGCCGGGCCCTCGCGTGGGCGAATACTTGCAGCAGCTTTTGAGGAGATCAGCAGAGCGTCTTTCCAATGTTGATTTGGCAGTGGGTCAAAGCCAATTAGAACCTACTTCAGTGGGGATTGGGACGTTCACTGGGGGTAGGAGATTTTGATCCATGGCCTTTTGGCGTCTTTCATGGGAGCCATGGCAAGTTTATGGCCTTTGCTGTTCCTTAGCCACGAGTCACTAGGCTGCAATGGCTCCCCTTGCGAGTCGCTCTGAATCGACCTCTCGTGATGACCGCTGGAATTTCCCGGCAGGACACACGGGGCTGGCACCCAGTTTTCTATGCTTAGCTCCTCGGAGAAGCAGGCGCGCCGCTCTGCACACTGCTGTGACACCTCTGGCGACACCAGCACCATGACAGGATATGACAGGGGGTCTAACACGCACGCGGGCAGCACATGCCAAGTCTGTAGCCTCCTCGCGGGAGCCCATCCCCTCCACCTCCCCCACCCCAGCTCCCCACCTCTCCACCCCCCACCCTGGACGCTGCTTGTCAGTTGGTGCGCGAGCTCGTGGCCATGGTGTCCCAAGCTCAGAGATCAGCGCCGTTCGCCACGGTGATCCGGTGATCTGATTGCTTTGAACGCTGCATGAAACAAAACATCAGGCTTGTTTCTTAAAATTTGGGGAGGGGGGGGTTCTGTCTTGGTTTTGGTTAAACACCGTCTCAAGATGGGTTCCTTCGAAAAATGGCAGCCCCAGCTGGGTTGATGCCGGCTCTTCGTGTCTGCATTGCCGCCAGTGCATCAAGTTGGCTGGCCCACGGCCAGCCGCCAGTGGCATCTGACACGAATTTCGCAACTAGTGGTTTCCTTTTGGTTTCCCTTTCCAATCCACACAAAAAGTCTCCTATTTGGAGACCGACCCCCTGTGACATGCGATCAGGTCGCCTTTCTTTTTGATGTTTCGTAGCCTCGCTCATATTGCAACCAGACGATGTAGATGTTGCCATGCTGCGCACCTACTTCTGGTCGCTTCCCCGGGTGGCTCCGACTGATGGGTCCCGGACACGGTCAGGGTCGAAGCGCCTGCGCTTCTCCGTGGCCGTGACCAACGAGATGTTCCTGCCGTTGCCCCTTGCCTTCGACCTCGCGCTGGGGCTCTCCACAGACGGCGCGGAGTTCAGGAGATTGGATGGTCAGGAGGGGCCAAAAGAGTCGAACAGGCCAGACAAAAGGAGCGGCCGAAAGACAGCCCAAAATGGCACTTACCTTTAAAGCATGTTTGATCAGATTTAGTTGTGAGGGTTGGATGTTTTCTCATTCAGGTGACTCTGCGGGAGGTCTGCGATGGCTTGGAGGCAGAGGTGGAGTGCGGAGTGGAGGATGAGGATCTCGAGGGTCGAGTGCTGGTGGTGGCGCATCTGCGGCAATCTGACTCCGCGTCGGCGAAAAGCGGTAAGAGCAGGTCCCGAAGCCCAAAGATCCGTGACTTGGCGGAGTTGTTTGAGGGGGATTCCCAGTTTAAGGGTACACCACCCCAATCAAAATCAACCGGGGGTTGAAGACAATCCGGGGTTCCCATTGTTTGTGCCATGTTTAGAGCTTGGCAGGCATTGGGTGAACATGTATCATCAATTGTTATGGGTCTGCCATTTTGGCTCAAGACTGAGCCAAACTGGCAGACACCTTCTTGGTTTCGGTTTTCATTTGCAACTGGAGTGGGACTCTGGTATGTCTGGCGCTGATGCAGGCCCCTTGGTGGCCCATTCTCAGGCGCGGATGCTGCACCCGGCGGCCCTCTTGGACTTCGAGGCCCACCTGGCAGGACTGTTGGCCCGTGGGGAACGGGACCAGGCCGTCCGGCTGTGGAAGGCCGTCGTGGTGGTTGTGCACTATCCCCCATCCGAGGTTTCTGAATTCCGTATTCGCACCCTGGGTTTGTTGCGGGAGGTCCCCTGCGTGGTGGCAGGGTGTGCTAGGTGCACTGAGCAGCGTGGGGGGTTCCAGTTCCCGTGGCTCGGGACATGGACTAAACGCGCAGTCTTGGTTCAAGATGATGTTGGCCCGGCGGACGCTTGGGACCTTCACTATGCGGGCCGGGACTACTTGGCGGAGGATCAGCTTCGGGCCCTTGATTCGGGCATGCGAGTGCCGCAGCTGGTGCCCGACCACATGGCACGCTTCATCGGCTATGTGGAGTTGGCCGGCCTCGAGGAGTGTGGCCTCGACCGGGATGTTGTCTTCTGGGCTTGGAGGAGGTGGCAGGAAGGCGCGACTCTTGGAGAGAGCCGGCATATGAGCCAATCCCCTCCGGCGACTGGGAGAGTCGCGATGGGGCCACAGCGTGGGCCGGGAAGGCTCTGGGCCGGTGGCTTGCTGGCTTCGCAGCGGGAGAGCGAGTGTTTCCCCTCCCTTGCGTGCGTTGTGGGGCCCTCGCACGGCACGTCGTTCAGGAACGGCCAATCTGCGAGGAATGCTTCAACCATTTGGTCTCTCTGGGGGATCCTTAGCGCAATGGCGGCGGTACCGACCGGGATCTACGCTCGCACGCCAGGGGGCAGTGGGACCCAGAGTCGGCCCTGGCTTCGGTGGGCGCCCAGCACACAGCCAAGTGGAGGCGCGAGCATGGGCTGCAGAGTGATGCGGACTTTGCGTTCGCCTTCCACTCCTTCAAGGAGGCGCTGGCGACCGGTGGCAGGGGCCTGGCCAATGCGTGGGTGCTGATTCGGGGTGAGCAGGAGTCCGAGCTGCTGCCAGCCGCAGCCGATGTGGTGGAGGGTGAGAGCCGTGGGACGGCTGTTCACCTTCCTTTTCGGCCTTTGGCCCCTCGACCTTCGAGGGCCCCGGCGGTACGACTTCGAGCAGTTCAAGACGAGCCGGAGGCGATCGCGATGCAGGTCCAGCGGCTTAGCGAGGCACTGCAGGCATGGGAGCGATGAAGCCGACGGGAGAGCAGCTTCGGCGCGAGTGGCGCGGATCCTGCACTCGGCTGGCGCAAAGGCTGGTGACGGAGGCGGAAAGGGCCTGGGGGTGAGGTGATCACCTTCATGCAGGCGCGCTTGCCACCAGAGGTGGTCGACCTTGATGTGTTCCTCCACGAAGGCACAGCTGCACCGGCCCGAGCCACCCAGTCGCTACGCTGGTTGACCAAGCAGGCAAGGGTGGACCTGGGGCTCAGCATGCTCGCACCGCCTGCGTGACAGGCGCGGCGGGGGAGGAGCTCTACACGCAGGGTGACGATCGCTGGCAGGCGTTGCTGGCGGCGTGGCTGCTGTATGGAGGCGTTCTTCGCCACAAGCACCTCACTCGGGCAGAGGTGCGGAAGGTCACCATGTCGACGGTCCACGCGCACTGCGGCAAGGGGAAGCAGCGGCGTCTGCGCAAAGGCTTCGACTTTTGCGTGCCTGGGCAGCTGTCGACCGGGTGGGACTGGTCGGCGGCCTGGCTTCACGACTTCGCTCTAGTGCCGGAGAAGCAGAAGGCGGACTGTGGACTGGCGTTCCGGCGGGGGGGGGCCGTGGTCGCTGTCCGACGTCTACCGGATGGCCCGGCACGAATTTGCGGACCTGGTGGAGAACCCGGCGAGTATATCGTCGTGCTCTTTCCGGCGGGTTGGTACGACCGTGGGTCAGCTGGTTGGGTTCAGCGCCCTCGATATGGCAGCCTGGGCGACTGGCAGACCAAGGGCGATATCCCGGAGGATGCGCGCGTACAGCGGGGCCAAGTACGCGGCGTCCCTGTTGGCCAAACATAGGATGGTGGGGGCGGCGGCAGTTCTAACCCGCCACAAATCCTGGGAGTTGGTCCCGCCGGCAGAGGTGCATGATGCGGCCCAAGCGGGCCAGGCGGCGGCGGCCCAGGCTGAGGCGCGTGACGCCCAGGTGGTATGGGCGGCCCTCCACGCCCCAAAGAGCTCCAGAAGCGGTTTGCCCTGACGCAGAAGCTCAAGCGGATCGCCAAAGCCAAGGCGGATGCAGCCAGCAGCCACGATGCCGGCCGCGCTCAACGGCCGGCGCTTGACAGCTGTCATGCGTGATGGCAAGAGGCTCTGCCCGGCGTTCCAGAAGGGCGAGTGTCCCGGGGAGCGCGTGTGCGGGTTTGCGCACCTTTGTGCGTGCACAGGGAGAGCATGCGGTGGAAAGCTGCGTCGTGAGGCCATTGAGGCGTGAATGATCAGTTGAGGCACTTCCAGGCGCCGGCTCTTCAAGTGGTGACAGCGCAAAGGGATATTGGTGATCCTGCTGGCGTGGCCCGACGTGTCGTACCCTCATGGACTAGTGGTGGGCTTGCCAGCAGTCGGCTTCGCGCCTCACTACGGCGTTTTCCCACAGCAGGATGCCCGAGGTGATGGAGGGTGCGGGCGAGAGCAATCGTCTTGTGCTCGCCAGCCTGCGGCCGGGCAAGGATGACACCTTCTTGCTGGAGCAATCGCAGAAGGACGCTGATCGCGGGTTTTGCACCGCAGCGGGAGCTCCAGGGTCAGGAGTTCCGACTCATACCCAGGTGTGTCATCACACAGTCCTCAGGCAAACAAAGAGTGATTGACAACGCAGATACCGCGCTACGACCAGCTCAGCGCATTGCGGCGGTGATGCAGAGGATCGCGAGGGTGACTCGTGGGAGTCGGGTGGGGAGGATTGGCCAGATGCATATCGCCACTTTTCCATGAATAGTGAGGAGGCGAGAGGATGCATTGTGTGCTTTTGGCATGAAGGCTGGGGGAAGCCTGCGCTTCAGCGTTACGCTGGTTTGCTCTTTGGCTTGCCGTTGGCCGTCACCAGTTTCAACCGGTACTCTCGGCTGGCGGAGGCGCTGGTCAGGCGCCTTTTGGTCCTCCTAATTTCGTTCTATTTCGATGATGCTCACATCACGGATTGGCGACGGCCAATGGGCGCTGGAAGAGCTGAATCGGCTGCTTGCCACGCCCTTCTCCGAGGACAAGAAACAGCCTATGGCAACCCAAGGCCTGTTCCTGGGGCTTGACCACGACCTTTCTGGCGCCTTGCGCGGAGGTGGCTCGGGAGCGGCTGCACGAGCAGATGGCCGGGATGATCCAGAAGGTCAGGAAAGAGGAGAGGTTAGCGCCTGGGCTCGCGGCTAAGATCTATGGCTTGGCCAACTTGTTGGAGATGGGCGTCTATGGCCGCGTGGGATGCGGGGGACTGGGCTCCATCAAGATGCGGCAGGCCGAAAGATCATCTGAGTTGACTGAGCCTATCAAGGCGAGCCTCGAATTGTTAGAAGCAGTGTTTGCCACCCAGCCACGGCGAGTGCTGCAAGTTTTGCCGGTGCCGTGTGAGCGGTTTGTGATTGCTTCGGATGCAGCTTTGGAGACGGGAGGCTTCCTGATGGTGTGGACCAACGGCTTCACCGAGCGACGGGAAGCCTTTGTTGCTGACATCCCACTTGAGCTTTACGAGCTATGGACCCCGGGGGACCGGAAGATTGCTCAACTGGAGCTGTCCACGGTGTTGTACGCCCTACTCTGCCGGCCGGACACATTCCGCAATCGGCGGGGAGTGTGGTATATCGACAACACCGCAGCCTTGATGTGCCTGATCCGTGGTAGGTCCAGACAACCCGACCTGGAACGAATGTCCCACGTGATCCACACAATCTTGTATGGGCTGAAAGTTTGGATGTGCTGGGAGTGGATCCCATCCAAGTCCAATTGGTCAGATGCAATTTCCCGTTTGGGCTGGCAGGACCCGTGGGCCCGCCAGAATGATTTCTCAATGTCTACTGGCTTTTGTTTCCCCATCATATGGAGGCTGCCATTTCGTGCCGTGCTCGCGGTAACGAGCTTTCTGTAGTGCTTTGGGAATCGAAGTGCATTGGGGAACTTTTAAGGATGTTAGAGGAATCCCAACCGGAGTTGACCGGTGGCCCCCTCTAAGCACAGTCCATGCAGGAGATGCATGGAAATCCAAAGCATTATCCCTCAGGTGATGAGGGTTGTGACAGGCACGGGCAGTGCAGACTATGAATGATGAGGGAGGAAAAAGAATAGGGGTGCGTTGCATCCTAGCAGTAGGAACGATACGTGACACATTGATGATTTAGACTTTTTTAGTTTGTGGAAGACTGCGCTTCTTCCCAGGTGAAAGACACTACACACTCGATCCGACGCCGGTGGAAAGGCTGGGCGAGTCGAGACTGGAGTCTCTCCAATTCTCGTGCCTGAGTTGCATGTCCATGCTGAAGACTGAGGAGGAGGAGTATTCTTTTCGCCGTTTTCAGCTTGGGAACTACTTGCTGTCCATTCGAGAGGAGATTTCCAGTGCTGACATGCCGACTGGGGGACGACTCTGGGATGCAGGCATTGTGCTTGCTCATTGGCTTGCCAGTGGCAAAGCGAGCTCGCTAGCAGGGGGCTCAGTCATAGAACTGGGCAGTGGTTGTGGCTTACCAGGCATTGTGGCGGCACACATTTTGGGGGGCCCGATCGTGTTCAGCGACAAAGAAGTGGTCTTGCCTCTCACCAAGCGGAATGTCCATGCAAATTGTCCCCACCTCCAGACTTTTGTGCTGGAGGTAGACTGGGGCATAGATGAGCATATTAGAAGGGCGCTTCAGCCCATCAAGACTCACTCATTTGACGTCGTGCTGATGTCTGATCTTTTTTACCACCCTTCAGCCTTGTCCAAGCTCCGGGATACGGTACTAGGGCTGACCAAGCCCGGCTCAGTGCTGTTCATCGCGCATATGCCGCGGGAGGACGGGTGGTCCGGTCCGGAGAACCCGCTGGCAGAGCTCTTGCCATGGTTTGATGGATGCCTCCTGCGGACCTGCGACCTGAATGGTGCCCAGGTGCACTTGTTCATGATGACCCGGCCAAAGAATCCCGCGGCGCTGAACAAAGACTGCCTGGTTGCTTTGTTTTGGGTATGTGGGTGGGATGAGTCTTGTTGTTTTTCCGAGGGCTGGCTTTTCTTAAGTCTTAGGTCTGGTTCCCTGGCTGGCTGCCTGCTTGGTTAGTCGGTCGGCTGGTTGGTTGATTGGTTGGGCTCACTTCCCAGGGTTGCCTATTGGCTCTGATTCGGTGGCAGCTGGAAGTTGGGGTGGTTGCGGGCTGGCTTAGATCCTACTCAGGGTGCGTCTTGGGTTGGTTTGAGGTTCATTTAGGCTCAGCAAAGGGCTGGCATCATCCAGGCTGCTCGTGGGTGGGGTTAAGGTTGATTTTGGGTGGGTTTGGGCTTGGCTTGGAGATGATTTGTGTTGGGTGTGTTGCTGGTTTAGCAGCCTCAGGGTTGCTGTAGGGCGTGCTTAAGTGAGTTTTGGGCTGGTTTAGGATTGGTTTTGGAGCGTTCCCCCAAACCACCAACAGTAGCCCAAAACTTAAACAACCAGACCCTAAGGCAAACCTAAGCCACCGCTAAACCAGCAGCACACCCAACACAAGTCAGCTCCAAGCCAATGCCAGACCCACCCAAAGTCAACCTTAACCCCGCTCAACAGCAGCCTGGCCTGAATGTCAGCCGTTTGCTGAGCCTAAACGAGCGATGCTGGGGAATTTGGGTGGTGTGTTTCCCCCTGTCACCCTGTGTTTGTATCACGGTTTGCGAGGCCCGGGTCTTCTGGAGATGACCTGAAGCAGAGCTTCACCAAAGTGCTGTGAAGGCGCGCGATCACGCGACTGAGAGCTCGAAGCGGCGTTGCCCGCTCGCCAAAGTTTGCGCTTGGAACTTTCAACGGCCAAAGCTTCAGGGAATTGGCCCCGCTTGTTGGGCTATGTGAAGCCATTAGTGCCGATATCTAAAGAGCACAAGGACCTGCGTCACGAGCGTTTGAATGAAGCGAAACCATGCCAACACGAACTTGCGCTTTTCGTTCTTGTGATGCAGCAAGCCAGGGCTTCTGCCAGCGCTCGCTAGGCTCCGACAAAAGTGCACAAGTGCTTAGAATCTACGATTTTCGAATTGATCAGGAATACGCTCCCAAATTGGCCAGAAAGGTCCTAAATGATGTCCCAGAGAGTCCCCCCTGATTCACAGTCTTTTGCCATCCGATGGATGCTGATAGAGCCAAGCGTCAGGGCCCGACACCTCAGCGCCTCCACAGAATCGAGAACCAAAGTTACCTCCCAGGCAAAGACCGTCATCTCTCGAACAGAGGCATGAGTTACATGTTACTTTTGAATCCCAAGTGGGTCAAAAGTCGTTTGTAGCCAATTGAGGTTCCACAGGCAGAATTGTCAACATGTTCCAATCGTTTTCCTTGAAACTGTCAAGGAGATATCTTCTCAGTCTTAGCATGCTCAGACACGCAAGCCTGACAACGACCAACAGCTGATACCCAGAAAGCATCGATAGAATCCAAGGAAGATAGCCACTCCACACCATCAGCAGCCCAATGATGCAGGCCCCCTGAGGCAAAATGCAACAGCAATAGGCTAACACTCCGCACTTGCTATGTACTTGGGGGGGAGGGTAGAGTTGTGGAAAGTGATATGGTCATGGTTCAAAACCAATGGTACCATTTTGGGACAGGTGCACCACCCATTTTAGTCTATTTTAGTAGGGATTGGGATGTTCACTGGGGGTACGGGGTTTTGACCCATGGCCATATATCGAAGGTGTACTGTGCACTACTTTCGGACTGAAGAGTTTTTGACTTTCAATCTATAGAGCTGCGAAAGTTGACTCTGTGCATGTAATCTCTCTCAAAGCACTGTTGTGACCTTTGAGCCAGAGCTGCAGCTTTTGAGCATAGCCGTGAACCCGCGTGCCATTTTCGTACTGACATGTTGCGCCTTTCGAGCCGCCGTTGCAACAAACACTAACCAACACACAAACAAACCCGCCCGCCCGCCCACCCACCCACCCACCCACCCACCCACCCACCCAACCTCCAACCAAGCAAGCAAGCAAGCAAGCAAGCAACCAAGCAAGCAAGCAACCAAACAACCGACCAACCGACCAACCGACCAACTGGCACTTTGTCCAGAGCGCCAAGTCAGGGACCCTGAAAATGGATACGTGTGGCCAAGCTAGAGAAGATCTCTTGAGGCTGATTTAGAGGATTCCGTTGTACAACAGTTTGTTCCCGGTTCATCCTTTAAAGAATCCTGCACACATGGAACGGTGCAAGCAGCCAGGCATGTTGCCCTGTGCATTTCCTGCAATTAGTGTGCTTCTTTGAACTATCGATTCCTCGCTCTCGTGCCCAGGCAGGAGAACAACATTTTGCATGCCCTTTCCTGAACAGAGTGCTGTCGCAGCCAGCTGATTTCAATAGATGTAGTTAGGCACCATGACCCAGCCAGAGCAAAGTGGGGCAGCTACATGGCCTGCACCGATTTTAGCTGTTCTAAAACGCCCCGCACAAGTGCTGTCGTGGCCGGTCGTGGTTTTTGTATGCATGGTGCAAGACAAAGGGCGTGCTCGAAGTACGCTGGCAAAGACCTGTGCATGGACGCGCACATGGCCTCTCCAACAGATCCAGTGCTTGTGTTCCATCAAACAATTCCCATCCGTAGACATCCCAATGGGTGCTGAGCTGTTGGTGGCGGTAAGTGCATCGCAGAGCAGAAAGTGGCCGCCTGCCAGGCAAGCACTCAAGTGCACATTCCAGACACATAGTTTGTGGAGCCAGACTGTGTCTGGAAACCATTATTCAATTGATGTCATGGTATCCAGCGGCTGCCGCACAGAGTGTCCGCACCAATGGAGCACTTTCTCTGACAGGTGTGAAAGGTGATGGCAGTTTTTGTAAAATACGGAACCTTTGGTGGAATTCCCCCCAACACATCCCCAGAAGCTGTGGGAAAGTTATGGAGACGCGCAGTGCCTTTTGGCTGATACGGGTGCCGATTCGCCCGATTCGGCGCGCAAGGCTTGTTGGGATTCGGCGGCGTACTGGAAGATACAGAGAAAACGGTTAGCCAGCTGTCTATGAATTGAATAGGGAACCGGGAATCAAACGTGGTTGGTGAACGCTTTATTCCCTACCATAGTGTCCAAGGCATTCCCAAGCAGAACGGTTTGTGCAGATGCATGAAGCGGTAGGCAAGCAATGATATAATTAGAGGGCATGAGATGACAAACCCATACCGTCCCTCGAAGATGAATGGTTACACACACACACAGACTTTTGACGTGAGATGCTTCTTTGTTTGCTTTTCTATTCATTTGTAATTGTCGATTGCCCAGTTGCACCTCTTTGCTTCATCCTTTGTCATGCGACTTTCTCGTCCTCACAGGCAACCTGATGGCGGAGTCATCTCGCGAAGCAGTCGAGGCGCGTCAGCGGGGCACAAATTGGGCACCTTCGTGCTTTGTGATTTTTTTTTTCGCATTTCGCTTGGTTTCAAAGAGAAGCCTAACAGAGACCACTTTGTTTTGGTCCCCACTTTGGTCGTCCCAGACTCAGCCAGGCGCGGCTGACGGAGTTGGAGGCACGGACGGAGACTTGAGATGCGGCAAGCCAAATGGGTACGTTTCGAGTTGCAGATCTCTCCCCACTCATGCTCTGGCTCTTGCCTCAAGTGTCATGGCACGTTGGACCATGAGTTTGGACCATGAGTTTATTTGTCCAAGATGCAAATGAAAAGCGAGCTGTGGCATGGGGTGTGCGGTCCATCGGCGTCTGTGCCCGCCGCATGCCAGCGGGCCATGTCCGGTTTCGAATCGGCAGGCCCATGGCCTCATGTCAGAAGGGCAACCAGACGAATCAGCGCTGGTGCTTGTGGCAGCAGGGAGGTTTGGGGGCAGTTCAAGGGAAGGCACACATTGGATGGATGTGGGCGTGTGCTTTTTTGAAGGTAACCATTTTTGGATGGATTTGCACAGACCACAGAAACAACCAACCACGTTTGTTTTTGGGTTCCTCATTAGGGACAAGGGAGACACACACCCATAACACAGTGACCTGCAATCGATTTAGGTGTACCTGCGCAATTGCGACCCTACCATTGCGCTGGAAGCCCTGGAGCAGTGGGAGCAGCCCGCTCCCCAGGTTCCAATCTTTCGACCCCGACTTCAAGGGTTGTTCAGGTTCCCAACAGCAGAACCCCACAACACCCGGGTTTTAAGTCTACCTTGGAGTAGTCAAAAAAGCAAGTGTTTGGATCGGCTCTTTTTTTTGCGCGTGTTCTGGAGTTTGCGACCGGACGAGGGGGTCCTTCCACACCCGGGACAACCCCTCCGCGTCGCTGGTCAGCCTGCTAAAACGCCTGAACCGGCAAGGCAGGATTTCGGGCAAGGTCCGAGAGGAATTCGGGTCAACCTGATGCCAGGTATTTCCTTTCAAACTCGAGGCACACCTTTTGTGAGGGGCAACTCCGGCTCGATCAGGGCCAAGACGTTTGGAACTCGATACAGTGGGTGGTTTTTTTGCCAGGAATATCAGCAAACCTCCTAGAACCATTGTGGTTTGTTTGGGCGCGCTTTTGCCGGAGGGATGGGTTTGATGCATTTGTATTTCAGCACTGCTGTTTTGGTGCATCATTGCAGTTTGGCTGAGGGTTCCTTCGTTGGGCACGGAGCGATGGAGGGATTAAACCGCTGAGCGTGCCGGAAAGCTGGCACGAAGCGCTTCGTGCCATGGCAGACATGCTGGTCACTTTGACCTTCGACACAGCCTCCAAAAGGCCTCCCATGCAGTTTGAGCTGGTGCCTGACAAGGTGCTTACTGTGGGTCGCGCCCCGAAGTCCGATGTGGTTTGCACGCTCTCCGGCATCTCCTGGCATCACCTGGACATGAGGCTGAGCTCAGATCCGCAGGGGGCCCTCCTGGTTCGGGATCTATCAATGAATGGCACCGGCATCCGATCAAGTCTGTCGCAGCCGGTTCAGAAGGTGCCGAAGGACGGGGAAGCCGAAGTTCGAGACGGAGGCGTCGTGTGCTTCCCCATCCGCAAGCCCAAGGCCAAGGGCCCGGACGCTGATGTTATCCAACAGAGCTTCGTGGTGAGGTTTGAGGCGCAAAAGCCGGGCAAGCGAGCTGCGGAGGGCCAAGAGGGAAATGAGCCCAAGAAGCGAGCTGTTGAGGCAGACCCCTGTACACAGAGGCTGGCCAAGGGGGAGGCCTTGGTGAAAACTGCCCGTCAAGCGGAAAGCCGTGGCAGGTTGGGTGAAGCAATGAATGCCTACAAGCGCGGCTTGCAGCATATCATCCGCGCATTGCCCCAGTTGGCAACGAACAGTCCGTTCCTGTTGCCTGCCCAGAGGATGCTCCAAGACAATCTGGAGCGAGCCGCCATGGTGAAAGAGAGGCAAGGTCGATTGAAGCTGGCAGAATCCGAGTTGCCGTAGCCAACCTCCAGCTTATCGGTGTATGAAGTCTCACCTAAGAAGCCTCCAGAAAAGAAACAAAATACGTGCAGCCGCTCACCCGGGAAACTCTTGCAGCTGCGCATGTGATTAGGCTGTATTTGGCAGCGAAACGATGCCAGAGCTTGTTTTGGGCCACGATGCATGATCCAAAGCATGGCGGAGCAGGGGCCATGGGGGCGGAGCATGGGCCATGGGGGCGAGACCCAGCTTGCCATTGTGGCTCACCGATACATCCTCCCATGATGCTGTGGGGAAAAACCAAACGATTTTGACACTTCCTGGTTTGCTGTTTGGCCAGTACCTGTGTCAGTTGTTTGTGAATTCAAATCCTGCACGTTTCGGGACGGCATTTAAGATGGAGGAAAGTTGCCACTCGACTTTCCAAGGGGCGCGTGTTCCAATGACTTCCAAGCGCTGTGTGCCCTGATCATGGATCATTCTCGAGCCCGGCGCCATGGCCAGTCCCGCGGTGCCTCTGGACATGCAACGCTGCACCGTGCGGCGCTGCAAGCTCAGCGGCTCTGTCCCGCTGGCCGGGCGGCAGCTGGAGGCTGGTGACGAGATCCATTGTTGGTGGATGGTTTGCTTGCTGGTGCTCAGGAGGGAACGAGGGAATGAACCCAGGGTTTCAGGGTCCCCTGAAAGCAAACCACAAGGAATGGTTTAAACGAGTGATTCCCGCATTCCCTGCCTATCGCACCAGCAAGTAGGGTCCAGGACGTCTCTTTTCCCAGGACCACGTCTTGGAGGCCTATTTGGCGCGTTTGCAGCTGCCGCGGCCCCACAGACCTGACCTTGCGGCGCTGGACGCGCTGCTGGGGGCGCACGTGGACCGCCGGGGCCCGAGTTTCCCGCGGAGTGGATGGACCAACTCCGCCTTGCGGTTGGGATGGAAGCCAACGAATATTGAGTGGTTGACTAACCACTTACTACTTACCGGCTGGTGCAGTATCTTGGCCATCCAGTTTGGGTGTGTAGGATTTTCAATGCGGGACCCTTGGTGAACATCATTTTGTGGATTTGTGTCCAATCATGTAGGACGGAGTTCGAGTGTTCTTCATTCCAGATGTCCACGTTCTTTTCAGAAGTATCTTGACGTACAAACCACACATTAGGGATGCCATCAGGAGTCGCCTACGAGAATCTGGATGTCCAGCTAAACCGGGCGGTGCCACCCCTGTGCTGGCGCTTGTCAGCGGAGCGGGTGGCGCTCAAGCGCCGTGGCGGTGCCGTGGCCGAATGGAATCAGCAGTTCGCCAAGATGGGCATTTCGTTGAGTTGGAACCACCTAGCTAAAGTGGGTGGACATGAATCCCCACCAAATTCTGAAATTCATGCCCATTTGAGTCGAACATCCCAGCTGCGAGCAACAAAGGCAAACCAGCGAGTAAGCCAGGCAAGGCAAGGCAAGGCAAACGCAGATATGGCTGTGGGTCAAAACCAATGGGATCCCATTTTGGGGTAGGCGAATTCACCACCCATTTTCGTCTTTAGAACCTATTCTAGTGGTTGGATTGTGATGTTCACTGGGACGGGGTGTTTGACCGTTTGACCCATGGCCACAGAGCAGAGCATAGGCTACTGCTTTCTGCTGGTGGATGCCTTCGCGTCTTTGCTGTGCAGCCTGGGTTTCAGCGTGTCGCTGCATACAGCGACCTGTGGTCCTGCGCCGGAGCCAGAGGCAATGCGCTTCAGGACTCGTGTGTTTTGTTTTATAGGGTAGCAATCAACATGGGGAGCCATCAACACAAGGGGGTTCTCAAAAATGAGATCCATTTCCCGAAATGGTAAGTGTTTTCTTGTGGAGGTTCCCTGTCTGTCTGCATGTATATGGGAAATCTGAATCTCATTTCATTGGTTGCAAAACCTCCCGCGTGCCGTCAATCGCTTTTTTTCTTCTTGTGGCTGCCCCTTTTGGTTCAAAGGGTAACCCAAAGTGGAACAACCACCTGAGCCACAATCAAAACCCGGGTACATGAAGGTTGGCAAGGGACAATCCCAACCATAAATAGCTGCGGCCGCCTTCTGATTTCTCATCTGTCCCCCAAGGGCCTCCCCAAGAGGGTCCTCCCCAGATTTGAGGAATTATGACCGAGTCCAACATTAAGCCTTATTAAGCCTTATTAAGCCTTATTAAGCCTTATTGAGGCTTAATAAGGCTTAATAAGGCTTAATAACGCTTAATAATTTGTTATTTAGATGAGAATGCTCAAAACGGACATGTTCTCTTATTTTCAACAATCCTTCAAATCCGCCATCTCGAAAGACATCCAGCCTAGAACGGATGCCCCAGGATTCTAGTCAAAGTACCATACTTCGAAAAGGGACCAAAACATCGTTTCTCTTTGAGAAGTAAAAGGGGTGGTAGGGGAGGGGAGGGGAGGGGGGGTAAGAGGGGGTGGGGAAGGGAGGGGGGGGGAGGGAGGGGAGGGAGGGGACGGGGAAGGGGGAGGAAGGGGGAAGGGGGGGCCCCCTGTGCAGGTTTTGGGGGGGGGGGGCCTCCCCACCACATTAAGCCATATTAAGCCTTATTAAGCCTTATTGAGCCCTATTAAGCCCTATTAAGCCTTATTAAGCCTTATTAAGCCTTATTTAAAGCTATTAAGGCTTAATAAGCTTTAATAGGCCCTGCTAGCAAACAGTCGTACTTTCCTACATTTTGGAACCCCTTTGACATTCTTGCTTGATTTGGGAGACTGGGCTGACAACGTACACACATCATGAAAAACACAGAAAACCTGAACCAACATTAAACATGCAAGAAAACAAAATCTGGGGAGGCCCTCCCTGGGGAGGCCCTTCGGGGACACATGAATTTCTTTTCATGGCTATGGGTAGACCATTTTTTTAAATACCGGGTTTTGATTATGACTCACCTGGTTCCTTTTCTCTGAATCAAAGTGACTTTACGTGACAAGCGTTTCTCAACGTCTTACTTCCTGAGTTTCTGGACTTTATACTTTTTGGGAAGACCATTTTAGTAGTAAATCAAAATGTTTGAATCTTTTTTGTTGGGCCGTCCGCTCGGGAAGTGAGACATAGGGGTCCCCTACAGTGGTCGTTTCTGTTTGGTCCGTTTTGGGATCCGCGAGGCGAAGTGGGGCGACCACGTGGTGGCGGTGGTGCACCTGCCAGAGGGCCAGTATGTGGCGGATGTGGGCCTGGGCGAGGGGCCCAGGAACCCTTTCAAACTGGAGCCCGCGGCATGGAAAGAGGCACTGCAGAGGGGAGAACACCCCAAAGTGGGGAGGTAGGTGGTGGTGCTCTTCCGGTTTCCCTAGCCATCTAAGCAAGGCGCCCTCAACAAGAGACACAGCTGTATCTTCAAGAGTGTGCTGACATCCGATATTCACTGCTCACTTCTCATATCACCCTGTGTATGGACATGGGCAGAATCCGCTTGTTCAAGTGTGCCATGGGCGATGCTTTGCGCGATGTTGGCCATAGCGGTGCATTCGAATTCGCGACGATGGGCATGGGATAGTTTCCCTTGATGCATCCGCAGGATGGCTTTGAATTCACCCTGGCTCTCCGCCCTGGAGGATTTGAGAGAGAGGTATCCAACTGCAGAGCCACAATTAACAGGGCAACTGAAGCTGGGACGCTATCGGCCCTCACTAGTGGCTGATATTTGGGCCGTTTGCGTCTTTGCATTGGATACACTCCTGTACTAATTTCTGATGGCGACTCACCCCAACATTTTATGTGTCAAAGTAGGGGGACCACCAAGATGGATTTCGGCCAACCTTTTCGCTTCCCCGCACACCAGCTGAAAAGGGTGCCCACAGAAAGCACAGAGTGCCCGCCAGGAGAGTGGAGATTCGAGAATCCCGTTGATGCTACTGGAAACTTGGCGGGCTTTGCCTTCGAAGTTTGGCTGCAGTAGACTCTTTTTCTTTTTCCCCGGTAAACCCCGCTTTGGGGTTGTTTAGAAACCAAAGGAAACCACCCATCTGCGGGGTTCGCCTATTTTGACACAAATCTATCCAAGTTTGATTTGGGGGTGGGGACGAGGGGGATCAAATCGAGCCCAAAAGGTACCCTCAACAACATACACCCTTTGACGCAAAATCGTGAACATGCAGTGCAAGCCAGTATTGCTTTGAATCAAGCTGAAACAGATCGCGCTGAAACAGTTCCACCTTAACGTAGGTGAGTGCATGGGCACCTCCCTTTCAGCCAGACACCAGTGGCTGCGTGAGGATGTGAGTACAAGTGCAGAGGGCTTTGACGATTTTCGGAACTTCCACGAGTTCTTCTGGACAAACAAGGACTCGAGCTATGTAAGGGCCTCAGACACCCCCAACGAATGCAGACAAATGGCTGCATTCAGCCATTGTCTCTCCCAAGAATCACCAGAGCGTTGTCAAAAAAGCGATTTGGACCTGCAACAATGGATTTCGGTTTTCCTTTTGTTTCGCTTTTGTGACCAAACGGAAAGGAGTACCCTTAAAAAGAACCGGCATGGGAATTACTGCCATTGGAGCAGGTGAAGGGTCCGCTCTTCCTGCATCGGAAGACCTTCGGCCGAGGCTCGACGTTTGCCAAACGGGATGTCTTGCCGGCGAGGCATTGGGAGTTTGATTGTGTGTTGAAATAGGAAACATCGTGGAATTTTCGGTTTCCGGTTTGGGTTCCCTGTAAACCAAACTGGCCATGGGTCAAAATCCAAATCGTGCCCCCAGTGAACATCCCAATCCCCACTGAAGTAGACTAAAATGGATGCTGGACCCCCAAAATGGTACCCTTGGTTTTGACCCACAGCCAACTGAAAAGGAGTACCTTTCGCCTCACAACGAGCCGCACCCTCAAACCGACGCCGAGCCAGCGGCATCCGAGCCAGAGGCATCCTGTCCCTCTTCGCCTGCACGTTGCGGCGCTCGCACCCGGATCTTCCGGGGGGCAAGGAGATTCTGCAAACCGCCGGCTCCAAAGAGGAGCCGCGAACTCGGTCGCTTGAGCTCGAGCATGGCCGTTGTGTTGCTTTGATTTGTGTGGCAAAGATATAAGCACTTCAGGTGGTTTGGGATAGCATCTTGGCTTGAATTAAGTGCTTTGGGTGGTTTCGCAACACAGCTTTCCCTGGGACAGCGAGTGACTGGGTTTCCCGCTGAACTTCATTCAGGTGGAGGAGGTGTTTTTCATGACCTTGGAGGACATGAACGAGGATGAGCGGAATCGCCTGTGGGATGCTTGTCTTAGTGTGTCCTCAGTGGCTGTCAGTCAGCCTTCAAGTTTAGCTCACTAGACTCCGAACCCGATCCTGAGGAAATCGCGCTGGCGCAGCATGCTCAACACACCAAAGCTGAGAAGTGAGCAAGTGAGAGAGCGCAAAAAGAGGCTTTAGCAACTTTAGCTGCACCTCTTCGCTGGACACGAAAGTGCGAGAAATGCCCGTGAGAGAACGCGCAATGTTTGTGCCTGCCAGGCCACAATCTTGCTGTAAGAGGCGGGCAGATGTGATGAGTTGGAGGGGCAAAAATGGGGGTTCAAAGTGCCTGTTTCCGTTCTCCCTCGTTCTCACGCATCTTACTGTAATAGGCAAGCGAGCAGACATGGTAAGCTTGAGGCGAGCAAGCCGATCGCAAAGACTCCTCGAGTCAGGTTCAGCATGCAATGACTTAGCTTCTCAGCACTAAATCACGCGGTCAAGGCTCTTTGCGCACATGGGTGACGCAACGAGGCAGAACTTACTTGCGGACACAGCCAGGCTGATTGAAGCAGGTCCTGTTGAGAGTACGTGCTTTCTGCCCCCAACCATGCCCGTCCGGAAACTTGGCATGCACTGGCCAAGCATCAGGCGCGGTCGAACCAGACCAAGCAGCAGAAGAGCAGGTGGAGGACCGCTGTTCTAACACAGTTCGGGTTCAGTTGGGACGGACTAATTTTGTAGATATGATATTTGGCACCCTTCTGGTCCTATTGCATGCAGCACACGCGGCCACAGAGCGCTGGTCATGGTGCGATGCGTAGGAACCTGGTCAACGTTCCATGGCATGCCGACTTCAAATGATCAGCGCCCAAAATCCTGATTGGCGGTGGTTCCACCTCTTTGAGGCCTGCAACCTTTACCCAATCTGTGGTCCGAAGTTTGGTTAACCTTAACCATAGTACCAAAAATTCGTGGTCCGGGCAGCGGGTCACTACCTCCGGCCTTCGGCCTTCGGCTAGGAACTCTTGTCCCAGTACGGCGACAAGATCGACGACAGCGCCAAGAAGGCCCTGCACACCTTGGGCCCGATTCAGGCGCGAGGATTTTGAGCGATGGATTGGGAGCGAAAAATTGCGCGAGGGGTTTCTCAGAATGGGGCCGTGGCCTTTGGGATTTCAAAGGAAACGGAAGAAAGCCAACTGCTTTGGAGGCCGACTCCGATTAATTTTGAGAAACACCTATGTTGCAGGAGTTGCAGTCGTTAGGTGACTCCTGCAAATTAGCGTCGGTTTGCTGCAAACGGGGGAAGAGCCGCTTTCTCCAAATTATTCTTGGTGTTTGGCTGGAGCCTGGCTGGCAGTTTGTGAGCGGCGGTCCCCGCGAGACAGTGAATCGCGCCAGCGCTAGGTTTGCTCTCGTTCTCAATAGTGAGACTGACCCCTGCAGTGAGATCCCTGTAGTGACACTCCTGGTCCAGCTAGACCTGCCTCTCCTGTGAGATTCTGTCTCCTGTGAGATTCTGACAGCAGAGCCTTCCCTTCTAACGAATAAAGTATGAGCACTATTTATATACCCCACCCGCCCTTGCTTGATTAATCTCAACATACTTTTTTTGCCCGTTTGCTTGGGCCATTCACCTAGCTTCAGCAATTGATCGCAGCTTTTCTTCTGGACTCTGAATCGCATTCTTTTGTCTCCCATATGCAACGACAAGGAAGGCCATATCAAGCCTCAGCAAAGCATCTGAGCTCATCTGGGGAATCAACATCACATTTTTTGCATCTAAGACACCTTCCCTGGGTGTTTGTTTGGACGTGACTTCTGCTCATGAGCTGGGTCGCAGTTGGCATGAGGCTGCGTCGATCCTCATGGACATAGATCAGCAGGGGGACGGCATTCGCAACCCCTCAGCGCAGCTTGGTTAGAATGGATGGAGGGCAGAGCAAAGCGTGCCAGGCTTGGCACACGGCGGTGGCGTTTTGTTTGACAGGTTGTCATTTGGGCGTTTCTCAGAATGGGGACCTTTAAAACAGTTGGTTTCCGCTCCGTGTCCCCCTGAAGTACCAACAAAAAGAGATTCCACTGTCCCGTTGCACCTGTTCTGAATGCCTTGGCATTGGGTCCGCGATCTACAGCGGTCTCACTACGCCAGGTTTATTATGAGCGCTGTGAAGAGGAACTCCGGCCAGGCAGGGGGTCCTTCAAGCGAAGGATTTGTTTCAAGCTTGCAATAGTTCAGCTTTGAGGGAGGCCATAGGTTGCCGTACTCTCAGTCAGGCTAAGAATCGAGGGTCGCAGCTTGGTGCAGTTGCTTGCAGCTCTTTTCTTGTGCGCAAAGCTGACGTGATCAATGCGTGTGCATTCAGGAGGGAAGCTCCAGTTCTGGCCGCAGGAGTTCCAGTGGGGCAAAGCTTCTTTTCTGAAATTCGATGCTCTGAGAGTGGGCAGCTCCCTCACTTTGGCTTATTTCGGGAGCACCAAGCTGAAACCAAGCACTCGAGCCCTTGCACAAAGACACCCCGGCGACTGTCAGGAGAGAACCTCGTCTGGAGCAAGGCTGGAATGCGATGCCATCTCGTGTCGTCATTAGCCGCCGGCACTGATCAAAGCAAAGCTTGGCAGTTCTAACAGCATACTGACAGACGGACAACAGAGACACACTTGCAAAGCGGCACTTCTAGAGAAGCACACACACACACACAGACCACACATACCACACCTACCCACCCACCCAACACACCACACAGCCACACCACACAGCCACACCGACCCCCACGCGCACATTGCGCATGCGCACTCACACGCCCGCGCCCACGCGCACGCACATGCACCCGGACGCACACGCACGTACACACCCGCACCCGCGCCCGCACCCGCACCCGCATCCGCACCCGCATGCGCACGCAGCACGCCCACGTCTCCGCCTCCGCGCCCGTGCGGGTGCGCCCGCAGACGCCCACGTTCAAGCGCAAGCACAATTGCAAGCGCAAGCACCTGCACACCCGTACACCAGTGATCACGCCCCCGCACAGGCACAGGCACGCACTTGCGCGGACATGTAATTATTGCGTGGCTGTCTTGCATGGTATTGCAGAGTCTGTTTTTGGCGCACGCAGGCCCTTATGCTGATCATCGGTCTGATGATCGTGGCTTGCTTTACTTGGCCTCATTTTCTGTTTGTCGTTGACATTGCATCAGACTTGAAGCGCACTTGCCCAGCACACCTCAAAACGAACTAACCCTTGGAGGTGCGTATTACAGCTCTGGCAAGCCAGTCCCATTCTCACTTGCAGACCGCTTGGAAAGCTATCTCAGGCCATAGCTCATACTCGCGGCGGCGCCGAGATCTGAGCTGACAGCAATCAGCACGGTTGGACGATGTCCGATTTCGGGTCGCGCGAGGCGACAATGACAGGGGCGGCTATGACAGGGGTGATGACAGGGGCTACGACAGAGGCAGCACCTATGAGAGGGGCAGCGCCTACGACAGCGGCGCCAAAGATAGAAGCTCTAGGTACAATGGAGGGGCCTACGGTAGCTACGGCAGTGATAGAAATTCCAGAGACTTGGACGGCAATGATGGAGACGACGAAATAGCTGTGAGTACGTTGCATTTCAGCAAAGATTGGCCAGTTTGGTAGACCTTTTTCAACAAGGATGATAGTAAGGCATGTATGGGGTTATCTCAAAATAAGAAAATTCCAAAATTGGCGAAATCCACCAAGAATGGGTACTGTGAAACAAAGTCACTTCCAATGACGACCCTACAGCCTTTTGTTGGGGGGAAACCCATTGTGGGTTAAGGGAAGCCAGAAGGAATCCCATTTTGGGGGGTCCCCTGAACAAAGGACGAGCCACCCATATGTTAGTACCAAGACGAAGCTCGGTGAACTTGAGCTTCGGTCCGGCTGTCTCAGGATACGAGGATGGCCACGCAGGCTGGCGTTCCGCTGACGTCCACAGGGGCCCCAATTGGGTTTGTCTCACGGGGGAGCCCAATGATGATTCTTCCCGTGGTTTCACTTTAAAACCCACCCCAAGGGTAGCCTCAACAACGACACCCATTCATGGCCATTCAAAACTTTGCACACAGCTTTCGTATGGAAGCGAGCCTTTCAGCCCAGCTGAAAATCGCTCTGTTATGTCACTGTTCGCAGGTGGCAGTTACTCCAGTGGCGGCAAGAGAAGTAGATACAGCAGTGGCCACAGCCGTACATGCGCTCTGATCCGTGCACCTGATATGAGCCACTGATCCGCTGATCAGCCACCTTAGCTTTGTAGATTGGCTCCATATCATGTTCACCAGGCGGAACGCGCTTTCCACTTTGAGCGCAATGTGTCCGCAGGATCATGGCACGCGCAAGGTGATTACGACAGGGGCGGAAGCCTGGAGGGACAAATCGAATCGTGCCGCACCCAGGGGTTGAGAGTGGCCTGGCATGTGCCAACACTCAAATTGGGTTTGCTTCCAGAGGACATATCCAGGAACCGACGATGCGGATATTGTTCTCAAAGACATGTCGGTGTTCTTTTCCATCATCTGTGGGCGAATTATTTTCACCCAAAATGCAGGCTCCTTGAGATATCTCCGATCCATACCCGAGTCATCATTTACCCAGGTTTTCGGATGGAAGGCCGTGTCAGGTTCCAACAAGTGGCGGCTCGTTTTGCGAACCTGGTGACATTTGGTGCTTCCATGTTTTTTCATTGTTCGGCTTGCGACCTTTTTGGGTCGTTACTCTTTTCAGTTTGGTTCCCCTTGGGAAGCCAAAGGAAAACCAGCCAGTGGTATGTGGCACCCGACTAGTTGGGTGGCCTCACAAAAAAAGCTCGGTGGAAACCGACGAGGTTGCTGGAAGGCCTGGACATCGACGAGAGCGCTCGAGGCCATTTGGCCTCTGTGCCGGAGGAGTCTCAGGCGCCGTTCTTTTTGTTTGGGGGGGGAGGGCGGAGGGAGTGGGGTGGGGGGGAGGGGGTTGTGAGCCCAACAGGATGATGCCGCTCAGATTTGGTTCAGAGGTTGGGAGACCAAGATGGTTGCATTGCCATGGTTGGCAGATTTGGTGCAGAAAGGTGGTTGAGAAACCAGGAAAGCGTTTTCTTCCGCCATGAAGCTGATACTTGGCCCGTGGTTTCCGGGCGCATGAACTTCAACCAATCTTTTGAATAGGTTGGTTCCCCAGGCCACCGCGCGCATTCTCATCGAGGTATTTGTGTTTACTGTTTTTGAGCACACAATTTGACCACCTGCGTGTTTCAATAAGTAGGCCGCCTCTTGCTGGCTGGCTTGAACAAGGTGTGATTAGCCATGTATTTCAGGTGACTACCGGCATGTTGCGATAGCAACTATCCGGTGCCACTTTGGCTCAAGATTTATGGGTTCCGTCGCGCCTCGAATGGGCGTCGCCGAACCCCTGCGTCGACCGACGACATCTCGGGGGAGAAAGAGACCTCGGGCCGCCGTCAGGTTGGTAGGGACCATTCGTGCGGCCTGTTGTCGGTCAAGGTTGCGGGTAACCCTTTTCTTGTTTGGTTATTTTCCCTTTTGGTTGTTGTTCTCTGGTGTGTGGGAAACCCTGATCTTTGGGACCGGGGATTGGTTTGCTTTTGGGGAACCTTTCTTTTGTGGCTTGTTTACCCCAACTTACCCATTGCCTGGGCACAGGCTCGTGCCCGAATCACAGGTTATCAGCCGTAGGACTTTCCTACGCGCTTGAGACCATCAACTACAAGCTCTATGTCGACCCCACGATCTCGAAGGAGCGTCGTGGATGAGGAGGCCATCCTAGGGGGCCTCCGCTCAGGTGAGGACCTACCGGACTATGACTACGAGGATTTCGAAGCAGGTTCGACAGGTCAGGACCGCAGGGGTGAAGATCCCGGTAGGGACACACCCAGGAGCCGTGGCAGGTACACCGACGATGGAGACGATCGTATTTTCCGTCAGGCCACTGATGACGAGCAGGCACAAAGAGTTCGCTCCGATAGGAGCGGCTCTGAGTCAGGTCGCAGGCGCGGACAGTTCGACTTCATCAGCGTGGCGATGAACATGGCCCGCCCTCATTCGGACGACCCGGAGGCCATGCCGACCCGACCCCCGAGATCTCTCCAGGTGAATCGCAGGTCTCGGATGCGTTTGAGGACAGGCCGCAGGGACCAGGGACTATGGTTTTGGCTCCGAGAGATATCTCGGGTCGATCCACTGGTTCTCAAAATCCAGGTCAGTTTGATGAGCACGAGGAGCGGAAATTCACAGGCTTCGGATACGATGCTCTGTTGAAATCAACCGCAGGCTGGGGCAGTAGCTCAAAGCAGGGGTCTGATGCCGATAGGCCCAACCCTAATACTGCCAAGTCTGAGTTTGATAATGGCGAAGATTACAATTTTGCGGATGAGGAGGAGGACCATTCGCGCCGAAATGCGGGCAACCGTGCTGCTGCAAGGCCTAGCCCTGCCGCTGCCAAGTTTGAGTTCAATGATGATGATGAGTATGCCGCATTTGCGGATCGTCGTGATGAGGAAGAGGACCAATCACGCCGAAATGCTAGGATCCGTGCTGCTGCGAGGCCCAGGAGCCTCTCTCGTGGAGCCGCCAGGGACCTTCGTGTTGACAGGGACGCCCGAAGCGAGAGAGAGAGAGCCAGGGATAGTCGGGAAGTTCTTCGGGGATTGGAGGCCATCCATGACCGGGAGGGACCGATAGGTCCCCCAGTGATTGGTGATACCCCGAATGTTCCCCCTTTTCCCAACATTACATTTGCAATGGAGGTTCGTTGAATCAAAGAGACGAGAATTCGAACCGGGTTACTGGTTCGCCGAGGATCACTGAACGGGCTGCCGATGTCGTTAGGACAGGTGCCCGAGATGGTCGGCTTGCCGATGCACTTGGAATCAAAGATCGTCCGTCGATTGCTAGCCCGTTAGGGCGAGATACCAGCGACCTTGAAACACTAAGGTCTAGCAACGAGTTCACACCTCAATGCGGATCGACCGCCAGGGAACGTAGTGCTTCCTCGAAGAGGCCGTCGCCCCTGGCCATTGAGACCGATAGGTCAAAGGCGAGGAGGGCTAGCCCTTCACCGTTAGGTTCAACCCAGCAGGATGAGGAAATGTTCGACCCTGCTGATGTTCATATCCATTCTACTCCAGAGTCTCGTGCATCTAATGTTGATCCCCATTCTGGCGATAGCCGGAGAAGGGGATCAACTCTGAGTAGGCCATTCAGGATTGATGATTGTCCTGTAGGCGACCCCAGAAGATATGCCAGAGCTAGTGGGGCTCCTGAGAGGATCGAGATATCGACTCCTCCAGCCCACAGATCCCATTCTTCCGGTGAGTCAGGTGACGCTAGGGTAAAGGAGGTGTTTGATTTGCACATCCAGGAGATGCTCGAGAGGGGTGAGGTGTCTGGTTCAGTCGCAAAGGCGTTCCATATTTTTGCTGACCAAATCAGGTTACTGAACGGTCAGGTGGGTTCCATGCGAAGGGAGTGGAGCAACGAGAATCAGCAGACGAAGGACAGGGTCAATCGTTTGGCTACTGAGATTGCGACTCAGTCTGATGCCGATAGGATGCGAATGATAGTTCAGCGGTTTGCCAGCGAAGTTATCCCTGATAGCAAGGCCATTGTGAGGCAAGCCATCGACGAACAGGCTGAGATTGTGGATCAGAGGGTCAACCTGCTTTCCCACGAAGTTCATTAAACCGTTAGGGAAAATGAAGTCGCAACTAGCCAACCAGGTCATTCAGGAAAATCATCAGGCCATCCGCAGGAGTCATGCTGCCTCTGAGGATGAGATCCTTAAAGACTTGGACAAGATCGAGACACGACTCTTCAAGATAGAGAAAGTCGTTGGGATGCGGACGCCGGCAGGTGATCTGACTGCGCAATTGCCCGATAGGGCTGCCAGCAGTGGAGCGGACGCGAATTTCAGGGAACTAAACCTGAGGCTCGAGAAGATCCTTGCTGAACATGAGAAGTTTGCTAAGTGGGCCTCCGAATCTATTGGTGGCATCAATGAGGAACAGATTATCCTTGCTGATCGAATGTCGAGGCTGCAAAGCGGAAGGGGGTCCCAGGCGGTCGATAGACCGTCAGGGCCTGATTCCCCGCAGGACTGGCATGAAGCAATTGACGAGGTCAATCAGAAGATCCAGGATCTATCTCGCGGAGTTCAACGTCAACGTCGGGATCACGACGATATCATTGCGAGGTTTGAGACCGTGAAGTCACGTGTTGAGCAGTACGAGGCGAGCTCGGGAATTCTGAATCAAGCTCTTGATGACATCAGGAGACAGATTCGTAACCTCCCGGCGAGTAGTGAGCAAGCACGGTCCGCCGTTAGGCGCGAGCTGGATTCATTCCGCAACTCGCAGGAAGCCTCGATGCGGAGGATGACTACTGTTGAGAGTAACATGCGTACTCTGAATGGAATGAACAACAGAATCATGGCCCAGCTTTATGATATGGAGGGTCATGTTGAGGAAGCTGCTGGCATTATTCAGGGTGTCCAGCAGATTAATGAGAGCCCTCAAGCACCCAGAGAGAGGCGGAACCCTGGGTACAACGCATTTGCTGGACAGGGACACAGAATCAGGTCACCGACACCCATCCCTGGTGAGGGAAATGGTCGGGGTACTGATCTTCCAGCAAGGCCGGGTGGGGGTGTTGGCTTGTCCAGTCAAGCGTTGCCGACTGTGCCCGATAGGGCCGATAGGGAGAGGGCAGACAGCAGGAGCAGGAGAGCCCGGGGACTGCCTGACAGGTCACATTCCCCGCCGGGACGCGTGAGGGACGGCCCCCGCGCGCGCGCAAGGGGGGACATTTCAGTTTCTCCAAACCGGGATGTAGGTAGAAACAGGAGTCCGAGGCCTGCTGCCGTCCCCGATAGGGGATCTGATATCCGGAATCGGCAATCGAGGGGGGAAGGGACAGTCCGCGGTAGCGGGAGCGATCCGCGACAGCGGGAGTGTCTCGCCGACCCCGAACCGTAATTCTGGGGGTGGTAGAGTTAGTAGGGCCCATGCCGACAACGAGTCCCGGCGATAGCTGGAGGACTCCTGGGAGCAGAGCTCAGGTCGATATCCAGAGTCCCGGCGATAGCTGGAGGACTCCGGCATCCGATCGTGGACAGGCCTCGGCACCGGCTGCGAGAGGTACGCCTGGTACTGGCGGGCCAAATGCGCCGAAGATCTGTGCTCTCGACGATCCAAATGATCGTAGGCATCCCAATGCTGAATTCACGTGTGTTACATGCAGTCGTGAGTTTTGCAGGCTGTGCGAGGGTGAAGATGGAGATTGTTGCAATTGTCACTTCTTGATGCTTAAATGTTGGGCATGTCGCAAGAATGCTCAGGAGGTTTCAATGTATCTTTGCTCTGATTGCGGAAATAACGTATGTGAGGATCACATTCACTTTGGCAGTGACTGCCTTGAGCGGTGTGCGCGTTGCAATAAACGGCATGAGCGCGCTGACGCTGGACCGCCCCCTCCTCCTCCTCCCGGGGGAGGAGATGGGCCAGGCGGACCATCCGGCCAAGGTGGAGGTGGAAGTGGTGGTCATGGATCTGCTCCATCTCCACCGCCAGGACCTGGGCATCCCGGTGGTTCCTGGCGGTCCGAGTGGTGGGCTCCAACCGGGGGATATTCTGGTGGAGCGTCCGGGTTCTATGGCACTGCTGCTGACTCCCATGGGGCTGAGAACAATCAATGTGGTTCGAGTTTCTATGGTCCAGCCTTTGGGGGTGGCGTATACAATCAAGGCGTCGGGGCCGGCGTTAGCCGGCAAGGCGTTGCTCCAGGTTACCCTGCGAGCATTGGGCATGCCAGTAACCCCGGAGCGAGTCCGTGTGGCTACAGTATCAACGGGGCCGGTAGGCCAGGAGATGGCGGTCTTCTTCCTGAAGCAATCAGGGGAG